CCGAATATTTAAGAAGATCAGCATATGCGTGATTGACATCAAAAACGCCATGAAAAAAATTTTATAATAATAATAACAACAACAACAACAACAGTACAACTATCACTGGTGCTGCTGCTCTTACTTCTAATACATCTACTACCTCATTGACTCCATCAACACTTATTACCACATCCACTAATAACAACTTGGCACAAATTTCCATTAATAGCAGTGGTGTTACTAATAGGCTTTCTGCATTACCATCAATCATAAATTCTAGTCAACAAGCACCAAAAACCTCAGCAACCTCTACCAATCAAGCAGCTTTACAACTTCCATATCATCATCAACCACAATTACAACAACATTTACAGCAACATTTACAACAACAGCAACAACATTCACTTCCACCAATGTCATATCATCAACAATTCCATCATCAGTACTCTCCTCCTCCCCCACACCCTTACCATTATTCTCATCAATATTCACAACAATATCCAAATCATTCAATTCACCCAAGACAGTATTATTTAGCATCTAATACTACAAGTCCACCCACAATCACAACTGCTTCTGCTACTGCTGCTAATAAAAGCAATAGTAGCAGTAGCAATACACCCACTTCACCTAATCTTGGTAGTGGAACAAGTAGCATATCTTCAATAACAAATCTTACATCAATAAATAGTAGCAATAGCAGTAATAATAATAACAACAACAATAACAATAATTCAATTGGTGCTTTAATGGGAAGTCACAATGAAATTCCAATTTCAAATATAAATAATTTAACAGGAATTGGTCAACAACATCATTATAATTCAAATAATAATCATAATAACAATAACAATAGGTATTCTTTTTTTGAATAGCCTCTTTCCTAGAAATTTCAACAGCAGTTTTTTGGTAATGGCATTTTGGAACTCTTCGACTAATAATGATCGACATAATACGTAATTTCTTTGGTTATTTGGAACAATGCAAAAAATAAACTTTTTTGTACACAAAATAACGGAAAATCCAATCAATATTTGCAGATGATAAATGATAATTTTAGTTGACAATGTAAAATATTTTTTGCAAGATATCGTCTATCTTGTTCATTATCTAATTAATTATTCATTCATATTTATATATTCATTTATATCATTACATGTTTCCTTTAAAATCATTTATTTTAAAAAATATTATTAATTTTAATCTTTAATTTTTAATTTAGTATTTAGTTAGTATTTGGCAATTTAATAATCAATTGGTATCTGGCAACTTTAATAATCTATTATTTAATAACTTAATATTTAATAACTTGATAATGTTTTAATTGAATTTTATTTAATCTTAATAGTGTATATATTTTTTATGGTTTTTAGCATAAGCATTTAATTTCAATCTTAATTAAGATCTGATTAATTTCAGTCCATCAATCAAATTTTTATTCTTAAGGTCTTAAGTAATATATGATTTTTTTTTGTAAATTTTTACTTTTATTTTTATTGGTGAATAAAAAATTTTTCCATTGTTAAATTATAGTAATAATATAACAATTGTATTACCTATCATTCAAAATTTAAGTTTTTCATTGTTTTTTTTTAAATTAGTAATTTTTTCTCAGAGAAAAACAAACTTTCATTGTTTAAAAAGTAAACATAGTAAATCCCATTGTCACATTGTTTCCATTGTTTTTTTTTCCTAATAAACAAAACAATAACATGTGACTTTGTGTTGCTTTTCAATAAGGGAGAGTATGTTACAAATGTGAATCGATCGGAATTAAAAAAAAAAATTATTTTTCTTATTTTTCTTTGATAAAAATGTAAATTTTCGAAAAAGTTCTAAATTTGAAATATTATGAATATTTGCACAAATACGAATTTCACAACATGATATGGGAAATACTAACGGTACACAACTAAAGAAACTTTATCAGTGTTACATGGTGATACAATCAATACCGACCTACACAAATTATTTATTATTTGTTTTTTTTTTATTGACCACTAAAAAAATCTCACACATACACCAATGCTAATATTTTTAAAATTTATTTGTTTTATTTGTTGTCGTTTAAATTAAATGCTGTGTTAAATCATTTGATATCTGGGAAGAATATTTTTAAATGAGATTCCATTTGATAAAAAACATAAATAATGTTGTGAAACATCTTGATTCGTAATTATCCTTTATCCATTTAAATTAAAGTGAAGCTGATGATTATGATAATGGCGATAATGGGAAACGTCTAAATCTATCGTATTACGCATTACAATGTGTATATATTAATTCAAATTTAGAAAGAAAATTAAAAGAAGGATCTTCTTCATATCCAATAATATCAATAATTATATTAATAAAATTTCACTGGTGGTAAATCAGTTTAATCAGTTTACAAAAAAAATTGAAATTATTCTATTTACTTAAACTTGATTAGTTAATAATATAATTAAATGAAATTTCTTGGATAAGGGGGTTAACTTCCGTATATTTATTTTAAGTGAAAGTATTATTTACTTCTATGTCCATATATGTTTTAATAATGAATGTACCGCGCATTTTAATATTGTAACGTGATGGGATGTACTATTAAATTTATTTTACTTTGCCAAATGGGTTTACCCCGATTATATTATATTACCTTATGTAATAATTTCGGGGCTGGATGGCGTTCCTAAATATCATAATAATACATTATAAAATAATAATGAATGGCCTGATCACTACTTAATTAAATAAAAATGTTGATTTTGATAAAGAACAAAGAATGTATGAACAATATTTATATTTTTATTGATTGTGTCTTCTTTTTCTCAAGCTTTCGGATCTAATTTACGCGTCGCCAAAATCTAGTTATTGTTTTACTTAATTAGAATATATTTATTTGTTCCACCTTCATATTAATAATTAAATATTTATTCATAATAATGAATTGTTTAATTTGTAATCTATTTCGTTATTTAAATAGCAACAATTGCCCATTAATATACTTATGAACTTTTTGTGTTCATTACGCGTTAATAAAAGCAAGTTTCGGTCATTTCCGTAAGCAGCGTTGCTAATGTGATGATATTTCCGTAGATGTTTATATGTTACTTTGATTTGTATGCGGTTACTATTAATATTATTAGTGCTTACTATTGCAAAATATACTGTTTTAATATCTCTTATTATTGACTGCGACTAATAATAATAATATTATTATCATTACATCCTATTCAAGTTTCAAACTTGAATTTATCAATTACGCTTATTGGTTTCTATTTGAATGACTCAGAGAATATATGTTCCTCTATTGCATACCGTAAATTAGCCTTAAAATCAATTTAGAAATTCTTTTTTGATATTTGTTTTTTTCTTTCAAAGAATTCTTAAATAATAAACACAAAGCTTTTACGTGTAAGTTATTAATTTGCCTAATAAGAATAATTTACGTGAATATGTATATAACGTAAAAGAGAGGGAAAAAACAACAGGTTTTTTAGTTCCCTTTTTATCGATTTTGTTGTCGCTGTCACCTTCGTCTTGTTTACTCTCAAGTTGGAACCTTTCGGCAACTCATAGAATTCATAGAATTCATATACTTCCAAATCAATATTTGTTTTTTTTAAGGAAATTTATGAAATAACAAACGAAGAACCAATTATAATTGTGTTTTCTTTTTTTTTTAGTTGCTTCGACTTGGAATAAAATAAATCAATATATATAAATAAATCAAATTGGCTTCGCGTCAAAAATTATAATTATTAAAAATTTTTTTTCTAAATTAAACAAGAAAAAGAAAAACAAAGAAACAAGTTTGTACATATTTATTTGACTTATTTGCATAAAAAAAAAACCCCCCCACGACTTTGTATAAGAATGGAAGGTTATTTAAGAAGAAAAAAAAAAAAATACTTTTTTGGTTTTTCTTTCATTTGATATTTATATATATATTATATAAATTCAGGCTAAAAATTTCGTTCAATACATAATAGTAGTAATTGATAAAAATTTTCTTCAAAAGAAATGGTGGCTTCGGAAAATGTTTCTGGAAACACTTTATTTTTCCTTTTTTCATTACTCTTCTTAGCTTTTTTTTCTTGCATGTAAAATAAAGTTATATTAGTTTATAGTTATGTATATAATCGATAAAATATTGATGATTTTGAAAAATGCTTGACTACATTTCCCAAAACATATAACAAAAACGAAAAATTTACTGTAATAGTAGTATTCTCTAACACGGATTTACTAATTGTTTCATTATTATTTATATTAATTAATATATTCGGCGGGGACAATTATTGATGATAACAGGGTAATCCGCAAAAAATATCTTTGTAAATATATCCAACCCACCCCTAATCTATCAATAAAATCGCAGTCGCTAACCTGCTAAAACTGCGCAGTTGCCGATCTTTATCGATAAGGATCAATATTTTGTGTTATTGCACAAAATTTTTTTTTTCAAAGGTTCAAAAGGGAAAAATTAAAATGAGTTATTATAACAGTAATTATAGCGGTAATTATAATAGACACAGTAGTAGTAGTCATAATAACAACAATAATACCAATTATTTTCAAATAAATAGCAGAATGTTAACAATAGAATGCTTCGATAATATAGTAAAATATTTGGAGGATGATAGACCAACATTGTTTTCATGTTTATTAGTTAATAGATTCTGGTGCGGGAAAATTATACCAATTATATGGGGGAAGGCATTGAAAAGATTATCGGTAAATCATAAAAATCGAGAACACTTGGTTTTAATCTATTGCTCATGTTTTAATATAAAAGAAAAAGATCAATTAAGGTCTCAACATGAAATATTTGAAATGATCTTGAATAATAATAATTTCAAGAAGCCGTTATTCAATTACCCAGCCTATCTTAAAAAACTTGATTTGTTTCTTTTGCATTGGATTATCAAGAAATTCATGCAAACGTTTGCGACCAAGAATCTATCATCATCAACAACAACAACAACAACAACAACAACAACAACGAAAACGAGACCAATGACAGTGAAAGCAACAACAAGAACAACTTCATTATTATCGAGATCTTGTCACAATTCTTTAACTTCTTCTAATTCTGATTTGTCATCATCTACAGAGTTCAATTTATTTTATAATAATCCGGTAGAGTTACTGATGAATTCGTTATGTGTTCTAATAATGGAAAGTTCCAATCTTGAAATATTAAAGTTGAATACTATGCATGAATTGCCAAATTTCATGATCTTTACACAAAAGTCTCCGGGATTAACGAATTTAAAAAAATTAAAAATATCCTGTAACAATTTTTATATTAGGAATCAATTTATTAAAAATAACGTATTTCAACTACTCAAATCTTTACCTAAAATTAGTAACAATATTGAATTTTTAGATATTCATTACAAGTCAAATGATCCCAAGACATTAGAAATATTGAATGCATTCATCAGGTCACAGAAAAATATTCATACTTTCAAGCTGAGTGTGTTGAGAGATTACGATAAATTATCATCAATCATTTCTTCGTTGGAGGAAAGTCATACAAATAATCTAGTTAATCTTAAAATTAAATTATTAAATAACAACCATATTAATGATGGTGGTAGTAATAATAATATTTATAACTATAAAGAAGGGAATGATAATAAAAATAAACTTAAAAATTATCATCAGATCGACGATCAATTATTAAGTCTAATATGCAAATCCAAGAAATTAAAAACTTTAAATTTTAAATCAGAGTTTACTAATAACAATAATATTGGTAATAATATCAGTAGCAGTAATATCAGTAGTAGTAGCAACTATTATAATTATTATGTTCATGATAATTATAAAAAAATACTATCATTATACGAAAACAAAATCAATTCAATAATTTTGGGAAACAAAGATTTAAATTTCTCTAAATTATTGTTAAAATCCTTAAGCAATAATTTAAAATATTTAAATCTTACATCTTCAATGTTAAATCCTGATATTGTAAATACCATAACATCGAATTGTAATAGTCTAATTTATTTAGATATGAAGTTTGATAATGGTGATGATGATAATTATAATTATATTGATGACTTAACAAATCTTAATGATTTCGTTAATAGATTCAGAAGCAACAATAGTAACAACAACAACAACAACAACAACAATAACGTGATTGGTGATGGTGGTGAATCAAAATTAAATTATTTTCTTAATTTAATCGAAAAATTAAATTTAAAATATTTGGGAATAAAATTTTCATTCAAGAATAATATTAATAGTAATAATATTAGTAATAATATTAATATTAGCAATAATAGTAATAATAGTAACAATAACAACAACAATAATATTGATAGTAATGGTAGTGATTTGTCTTCTTCAGATTATATAATCCAAAGGTATTTAAAGTTAATCACAAACTATTTACCCAACACTTTAGATTATTTATATTTGGGTAATAAAATAGATTACTTTACATTGAATTATTTATTAAAAAATTCAAAATTAACAAATCTAATCAAAATTTCATTATTTTATAATAATTTTTTTATGATTGATGATAATTTTTTTAAAATTTTTCTAAATTATTATAAAGAAAAAAATAACAATTTCAAATATTTATATTTACCAATTAATTATCATACCTTTACTAATAATAATAATAGTGACGATGATGATAATGTTTTAAATGAGTTAAAAAATTGTGTTAAAATAATTGAAACTTCTAAACCTATTAAAGCTTTAGATTTAATTTAAAATTTAATAAACATAAAATTTTTTTTTTTACAAATCTAATTATTAATTAGATATATACAACATATATTGTTTGTTATCCGATTAACAATCAAATTAATAATTACCTGAAACCAACCAGTTAATAATTAGACAAATAAATAAACATTTAAAATCTAATTTGGTTTGGTAGAGATAAATTTGGTCCGTCCTAATACATCGCTCTCACCGATTAGTAACTAATTAATAATTACCTGTATAATTGATTAATTAAACTTATTAAATAGTTTGGAAGTTTATTACTAGATTTCTTTTTTTGATAAAATATTAGAATGATTATAATGATTATAATCTTTTAATATACTAAATTGTATATTTTTGACAATCTTGTATCTCCCAATTCTCATAGTATTAACAACTCTATACAAATTTTTCAAATTTTCATCAATTAAATAATCTTCAATTTGATAATTTCTGGTTTCACTAATACAACCTGAACCTTCTTTGATTTATCAGTGTTATTTAATAAATTTCAATAAATATTTTGTCCAATTATTAGTAGGGTTACAGGTAATTTCAACTTGGATATTGGGATTTTCCATTATGACTTGCCGTAAATCTTAGCTACCATAATCTGAAAAAAAACAATTTTGAGTTAATATCACTTGGAATATCTGAATTAGGAATTATACTCGCTTTGCATTTTTCATAGTAAATTCCTTGAAATGCCGAAATTACTCTTCTTAATATTATAATTAATTAGTGTTACGATCCGTTAAAACCTTGTAATTAGCAGATTACCGAGTTAACGTTAAGAAATATTGCATAACGGGTTGTTAACGGATTACAGTTAGCTTATTATTAGTAGTAATAGGATTTGGTGTTACAATTCGTTAAATACGTTAATATTAACAATCTACAACATCCAATACATCTATACCAAGTGAAAGACTTTTTTCAAATGCTAGTAATTTATTAACATGCAAAAAAAACACGAATGAAACCTGATTTTTTTAAAAATTTATGTTCTTAAAAAAATAAATAATAATAAATCACAAATTGAAACAATTCATCCTCCAAATTAAATAAATAAATATTTTATTATTTTAAATTCTAACAAATAAATGTTTTTATACGATAATATTTACTATTGACCTGTTACCAATCCGGATGAAAAAAAGTCCTTAATATTAATTAATATTAATGGATTCTTAACAGGTCCATAATAACAATAATAACGCCAATCCGTTAACAATCCGGAATTATATTAATATTAATATCCAAAATTATTTCAAATTAAAACCGAAATGATTGCTGTAATTAAAAAAAATTTTCGGCAAACAACCATATACACATAATAATAATATAACCTAAAAAGGAATATTAGTTACATATTTAATAAAGACGATATATGATGGCCCTGCAATATATCGTCGTGATGATAAAAAAATATTGCTTGGATCGGGATCTGTAAGCTTTTAAAACCATATAAATATCAATATTCTTTCTAATTTTGAACGTAACACGTGATTGAGCTTAACAAATAAATTAATAAAATGATGTTTTATCCAAATTTCACTGTAAATTGGATAATATAAAATGTATTGAGTCGTTGTCAAAAGGTGTGCAAGAAAACATTGGGATTATATCTGGAAAGGTTCACAAGAAAATGTAGGCTTTGACTCTATATAATTGAAACAAATAATAAAGTGCCAGTAAAATATATGGTTGATGAAACATACATGACAAAATTCATATCAGTCGAACGATCGTATTTTTTTGGTGATCAACGTCGAAATTTCTATTAATAAAATTAGCCACAAACCTTAATTTTTGTTCAACAATCTCCACCAAATTTGACAGATTTTTCATCATGACTCAGGCTTCAAAACTTATCAGCTAGTTTTTCTTAAACTAAAAATTGGCAGAGCCTTAGTATTTTGAAAATTCCAAATTTGTTATTATTATATGCTTAAGAAATTAAGTAAACTTCGAATATTTTTTACAACATCATATATTGATTTATTTTATTATTTATTTTCTTTTTTTTTATTAATAATAAAAGCTCTTTACAATAAAAAAGTTCAACAAACATATTACACAGTGACTCTCAATTTAATGGACATGTTTGTTCCAGGAAATTTATCCACTAAACTGAGAATCCGCAAAAGTGAACAAATCATGTGTTATAAATTAAATATGTATATACAAAAAAAATTTTTTTTTATTTAATAAAAAAAAAAAAAACAAAAAAAAAAATATAACAATAATATTAATATTATTGTTGACTCATAAATTCACCAATTTGACATTGTTTTGCTTCTTGGGTACTTCTATAAGAAATTTCTCTTTTTAATATAGATGAGTGTCTAAATTGTTTTTGGGATTGTCTTAAAGTCAAAATAGTATTTAGACAAAAATGTCTAAATGTCTAAATTAATATAAATAGTAATGATTTGCTTTAAATACTAAAAGTCACGTGTATATACACAACATTCACAAAGTTCAGTAAATTATCCAATAGAAAATTCAATTTCGGCATTTTAGACAATTGAGACCATGATTGTCTAAATGTTTAAATTAATTTATATTTTAGACATTGTCTAGTTTAGACACCCATCTATACTTTTTAACTTCAGTACATTTTTAATCATTTGAGAACCAACTTCTAAATCTTTTTGTTGTATACATTTAAGTGCATTCCCAAACCATTTGTAACTTCTGTAATTTTAAAATTGGTTCACTTATCTTCTCAATACTCTCATCATCATCAACTTCAGGTTATCCAACACAATATTTACAATTTCTTGTTCTTCTTCAAATTCAAAGATTTTGATGATAAATTTGTCTTATTAATATTAATAATACATTACATTATTATGCATATAAAAATAGACTATCCAAAAAAGACAGGGATCATTGTTATCTTTAAAAATACCCAGTAATAAGTAAACTGAATATAATATGTAAATCTGCTAAAGCAAGATAAAATAACTATAGAAAAAATTTGGATTTGAAAATTTATCATCTCAAAAGAAAATCATTACCAAATTGGTTATGAAATTTAAAATATTGTAACATGAAGATTATTTGAGACAAATTTTTTTTTAAATAGATAGATTGACTCCCTTTTTAAAGCTGTTGGTTTTTTATGATCTCCACCACAGTTACTCCTGCATTTTTTATTTTCTCAGGTCTTTTCCTTTTCTCTACATTTCAATAACACACACCCTACATAAAGTAATTCCCATATGAAAGCTTGAATTACATTGCATCTTCTCACTAATTTTCAAAGCATCTACAGCAAAATTGAAAAGAAAATCTTTCTTTGAAATATAAATGTGATGCCATTTTTGAATAGCCATAGCTTATGTAAATAATTCATTCCTTTTGGTATAAAAAATATTCATTAGAAAGCTCTAATAGTGTGGTTTTACTTTGCTTTAATAATGAAGTTTGTCTCAATTATGAAAATAATGAAATATTTTTAAAAATAGGCTGTTACATTTTAATTTTAATATATATATGATACTTAATCTGCAATGTCCTGCAATTGATATTAATATCTGTTTTGTCAAATGTGATGAAATTAACAACAATTTGATGAAATAATTCCTGCTCATGAAAACATTTTGTCAGGTATCCATTCATTAGTTTTGAAGAAGTGGAATGCTATTGGTTCTAGCATTTTTTTGGCTAATTGATTCAAGATACTCTTTTCTTATTTCCGTGTCACACCTAATATTTTGCTAAATGAGCCACAAGTCTTGATGCTTCTCCATGTTGAAATTTTTTGGGACAGTACAAACATTTAACAGAGAAATAGCCTTTAGAATTTTTAATATGTTCTTTAATAAAATGTACCCAAACCTTAGATTGCTGGTCTTCCTAATTGAGAGGAGGACAAACTATTTTCAACACTTACAAATTGAGGCTGATTGTGACCCTGGTTCTGTGAGATATCACATTAAGGTATGTGTGTATGTATGGATTTGATAACTCACTGCACAAACATATGTGTAACATGTGCATATTTGTATATACAGATTCATAGTTTTTTTTTACAAATTACATATTAATATCTGATATAATATGATCAGGGTCCCTGGCCGATATCATCTGACATTTCAATGAAAAGTATTAAATGAACAAATGACATAAATTTAAGAGCAAAAATTTATTGTTTCAATTAATTATTATATCTCCTTTTCATCATATTTTGCCTGAGTAATGATCCCTGCAAATATGTTACACATATTTCTGATATGTACAGTATATTAAATTTTCAACAATCTTGTGTGCTAAGCAAACAGGACCCTGGATTATCATAATTGAGGTAACATCTGATTTTGGTAAAGTGCTATATATATTATTATATGAAAATTTGGGCAAAGACTTCTAATAAGTAATATAACTATTTTGGGCATAGCAGAAACTTTTTTATTATAAGTTATATCCAAATTGGTAAAGCAATTTTATTTGTATGAAATTATGGACAAAGCAAAAGTTTAAAATGGATGGAAAAAATAGGCATGTCAAGCAAGGTTTAAATTGTAATTGATATAGAAAGTTGTAATCTTTCCTATTCAAGTAAATTTCCTAAAAACCCTCCCTTCCTATTGCTAATACTGATATAATGTTTTATTTTATCTTGGAAATAATAATATTATATCAGATTCAGATATAGATTTATTAAGAATAGGTGAAGAACATCAATGACTATACATGTAAACTTGATAAGTCAGATGCAACAATCAGTTGTAGTACTTGATAATATAAATAAATGGCTGACTTGTTGAGTTTACATTGTATATTAACACGATTTTTAATTCTATAGGTAAAATACATTGGATAATATACAGCATTGCAAAATATTGTTTTCAATGGAAAAGTAGCCAAAATTATCTATTAAAAATTATACCAGAGAATCGGAAGACCTTAGATTATAACATAATTGACAAAATTCTAGAAAATCCGGAAGTATGAAGTATATACAACCTCCAGAACTTTTGCTATAGACTGGT